ATTGAGGACAGACATGTGACTTCTGTGGTTCTAATTGGGATAAAATCATCCCCTACTTCTTTCTTATTTTCTTTTTTAAGAAGTCTGGGTGTCTTGCCCACATATTCTAATTATGCCAAGACAAGGATTTAAAGTTGAGCTCCAGACATATATGAAAGCTTAAATTAATTCAGCTCTATATTCACTAATACATAACAATTTTATTTTTTAATGCAAGCAGTGCAAGTACCTGAATTTGACCTAGTGTCTGCCTTTTGTAGTCTATGAGACAGGAGGAGCAGGGAGAAGCAGTACAAGGATTCCATCAATTGTGCTAAAGTGCAAGGAACATGCTGATAGTAGGAGATACTAGGAGAGAGCAGAGGGATAAGCTCTGCTACTTCTCTTCTCACTGTCCAGTCATAGGCTTGTGGAGAGACAATACCTGTAAGGGTTTATTACTGAAGCAGAGTAAAATGAGGTCTCCTGCTCTTCTAGACAGAGCTGTGTAACACCCAGGACTATATTGACAAAAATATAAATCATTTGGCGGGTAAATGGGCTCCCTTATATGTTTTTATATCTGTGTATTTAGCTTGTAGGCAGGTGCAATCTGTTTTCTCCACTGTAGGTGGCGCTCATCCAGAATGGTTCTGTAGCTGGAGGGGAAGTCTAGGGAAACTTCTCTATGGTTCCCTCGGTTCTCTGGAGCAGTGTCCGGTCGGCTACTCTGCATGCAGGTGGCCGTGGTGGCCATTTTGGGTCACGCAGAATATTTTTGAGTCCCTGCCCCAGGGCCACATTTCAACCCCCTTCCCCTATTCTTGGCAAGCGCTCTCTGCTGTTCGGGTTTACTACCGCTGACTTTCCACTATATTGACTCTTAAGTTTCCAGTCAGGTGAGCTCCCCCAATGGGTTGTTGCACTGCTTTCAAGTTCTTCAATACACCAGTTGCCTCTGTGTGCTTTATGCACCCACCTAACAAACTATTTGCCTGGAGTTCAGCTTTAATGTTTATTTACGTGATTGAATGATATAATTTTAACTTCCCTCTGTTGGTATGTGCTATAAAAAAATGAGGCAGGCAGCTCTTTATCACACTGCTGCATGTCAGCAGGACAGGAAGTGAAAAAAAAAATAGTTAAAATGGAACTAAACCCATCAATTTAACTGTTTCTTAAAACAAGTACATTAATAGGAAACTAAAGTTCCACTGTCACAAACTGCAAGCAGGGAGGCTCTTTATTGCAGAAGAGACATTTATTGTCTCTTCTGCAATAAAATACACCTACCTGCTGGCTTAAAGCGTGTTCCTGCTTGTAAACTGTGCATGTGCAGCTCAGCACAGTCCCCATGTGGTCGGATGACTGCTGTGCAGGCACAGCGATTATGTCATCCTGCACCCACCAATGAAGAGGTCAAAGCCATAAAATGGATGTTGTCATAACTGATCATATGTGTAGCACCATGGCAACTGTGGATCACACAGAAGCTAAGATAGCAACTTCCTTGGATAGGAGGGTTTAGTTCTGCTTTAAAACCTTAAAGGGGTTTTTTATCCTTCCTCACTCCGTCCAAAGTTAGGAAAACAGGTTTTAGCTGAACATGCATGTACATGATAGAAAGTCTTCCTCTAGTGGCTTTCTGTATTTCAAACTGATCTATAATATAATTTTTTAACTAATTTTAGAATTTTTCTATTGCAAGTTAACAGCTGTATGAGCAAGAGGGTTACCCATTCTGACTGTCCTGAGATAGGTATAGAGTCTTCCATTAATGATTTCTTCTTCTTCTTCTGAAACTGCTTATTGCTTGACTACTATGTCAAAAGACAAGCCTGAGCGTCTACGCAAAAATTAACAATCCACTATATGACAAATCTTACAAAATACCAAAGTGTGTTTCCACACGCACAAAAAAGTCAACTGGGTTTGAAAATGAACTCTTTTTGAAGTTTGCATTTAAAAAGGGCTATTCCCAACAGTATATGAGATGTGTGAACATAAAAGTGGAGACTGGTGTATTCCAATAACATTAGTTCATAACAATGTATTCCCTCTTCCAAACCATATGACTCTAACAACTGGTCATTATATTTCACTTTCATCTTAGTATCCCATCCAGTGGCTTATGAAGCACAGACAACAGGGAAATCACATATGTAATCTATATATGGGACTTTGTCTCTTATCAGCAGGTATCTGCAAGGCTTAACTGCCCCCTAAATCCAAGCACTCTACTGATCCAGCCACTTGCCCAGTATGCACTAATGCCTACTTCCCTAGGTAACGAAGCAGACTCACAGGTAAGGGGAAATGATCTTGGACATGGACAAGTTCTGTATGCATGTAAACACTTTCTTGGCACTAGAGGGCAGGGAAGATCTACAGGCTGAGGACAGCATGTGCTGCCACATACGCTGATTTATTTATGGGGTGGTGGGAGAAGACAATTGTATTCACAGAGAACCTGGAGTTATTGACATCCCATATATTACTATGGGTACGGTTCATTGATGACATTTTCATCTTGTGTTGGGGGCCAAAAGAGAGCTTTGATAACTTTGTGGAACATCTAAATACAAACAATATTGGAATGTTTTTCATGAGTGAGGTGTGGAAGGACAGTATTAACTTTTTAGATCTTAAGATCACATGGGAAAAAGATAGTACTATTGGTAATACGGAAACCTACTTCCACAAACAACTTACTCCACTGGAAGAGACACCATCCTATTTCCCTTAAAAAGGGTATACCAACTGGCCAATTTATGACAGCCAGGGCAAATTTTTCTACAGATAAAGCTTTTAGGATTGAAAGTGCTCAATTATTTATTCAATTTCATAGAAGAGGGTATAAGCTTGACAGTTTGAATCCCAGCTTCGACACTTCCTGCACGGAGTTTGCATGTTCTCCCTGTGCCTCGTGGATTTCCTCCCACACTTCAAAGACATGCTGGTAGGTTAATTGACTACTATATAAATTGGTCCTGGTATGCATGAATGAAAGTTAGGGACCTTAGATTGTAAGCTCCTCGAGGGCAGGGACTGATGTGAATGTACAAATATAAACACTAATGAAATATAAAAGAAAAAGGGGGCGAGGAAACCACTGTAATGCCACACAGGGGAATTAAATATTATTGTGTTAACTAACTCACCAAAAATCAAGGTGCGGATCACAGTACCCAGAAGACATTAGATAAAAAAAGATATATGGAGGAGAGCCCCCATAGAAAAGAAGGTACTCTCATGTGACCCAGGTAGTTTTAACCTGAGTGACATGAAAATTTACAAATATACATGTAAAGTGCTGCGTAAACTGACAGTGGTATTTAAGGATCTGTAATAACTAAATAAATAAATAAGCTGACTTAAAAAGTCTTTTGATATGGTGAATGACATTCCTAGGGAATCCCTTTTGGCCCTGAGACAAAACAAAATGGTTGAGGCAGAAACAATGCACATAAAAGGCACTTACCCCAGACAATCTGGCCAAATCTATAATATCATCAGAAGATATTGGCATGTTCCCTGTGATGTAATGGAAATACTCCCCAAAAAATCCGCAGATCATTTACGGTATAGAAGGGACGAAACCTAAAAGACAAATTGGTGCATAGCCACCATGAAAGTAACCACAAACAAAGGACTTTTTCCACATGGCTACCATAAAGACTTATGAGTATTTTTAAATGTGGGCATTGTAAAGCATGTATAAATTTCTCTGCAGTTAAGGAGTTTCAGAACCCCAAGAATGGGGAGACTATTAAGATCAAGTCATTCTTTAACTGTAAATAATGTGATTCCGTGCCAAGGAGAAAATTAAAAGTCTCAAAACCCCCCAAAAAGCTGCCTCCCTGTTGTATTATATTACACTGTGGAAAAAAGCAAAAAAGAAGGGGCACCATTCTGAATATTACTGAATCTCAATTATAATGTGTATGGATACTATGGCATAAAGAATATATAAAGCAAATACAAGAAAAGGAGATACCCATAGTCTGTATTCCTGTGTAAACCACTATCGAAGTTGCATTCTCAACTTTCCCTACAAAATGGCACTGTTTAAACAAATGGGCAGCAATTACTGAGCTGCCCAGGAAGAGGCGCGCCTTGGCAATCATCTTTGCTATGTATAGGAGTCAATGGACTGCCATTTTGTTAGTTATTTTGACCATGTGGTGATAGTAGCCACATGGTAATGGACACCATTACATAAATTTGATGCCACTTTATATTTTTTTACAAATTTAATGCAGCCCTGATGAAGCTCCTTGTTTTAAAGGGCAATACATGTTGGGTTAATTTTTGGGTTTTTTTTTTAACAGTTTGGCAATTTGTTTTTTTCTGGTGATAGTGGGCACAAGACTTTTTTTAGTGGAGATTTGGACAAACTAATTTCCCCTTACCAGTGATTCTCTAATTGGTCACATAGGGAAGTAAGCACTAGTACATACTGGACAAGTGGCTGGGTCAATACAGTGCTTTAGGGAGCAGTTAAGCCTTGCAGATACTCGCTGTACCCTGCAATATTGGATTTTGTTCCAGTCACAATGGTCTCCAGAAGAATTAGAGGTCAAATTTCCCCAGCAGGGACACAGGCAGTAAGGGCTCATGTCAACACTCTTTTCATACATTGCATTTGCTGCATGTTGTATTTGAATGTAAACGCATACATTCAAATGGCAAACAGAGCGTTTGATCTGGTTTGGCTGCAGTTCAAATGTACAGTACATCAGTACGGCATGCTGCATCCAAAGAAAGGCAGTGCAACCCAAAGCAGGTCAAACACAACCTCTGAACTGACATATGTACTGCTACTACTACTGAAGTTAATCGGATTTTGCTGACCTGCATTTGTGGAAAGGGAAGGCAGTAAAACCACGCTGTCAACACAAGCCCCAATAAAAACCTAACACAGTAAAATAATAAGTCTTTGGCTGTAGATACACTTATACAACTTTATTTTTCTAAAGATAAAAATAAAAAATAGGTGTCCTTTTTTTTCCAGAAATAAGATGGAAAGATCACCAGAGTGGATCCTTCTTCTCTTCTTGCTCAGCCTTGGCCATGGCTTCCCCCCATGGGAGGACAGAAATGCTCTGATAGAAAAAGAGAACAGTCGCCGGGTTGGCGGCAGCATCATCTTTGGAGAGAGAGAAAAAGAAGCCAACAGAAATCTGATGAGGATTAAATCAGATGAAATGAGTCAGGCGGCTGCCACAGGAGTCTTTCCTCCCAGCATGCACTTTTTCAAGGCCCGGAGACTTATACAGCAGAGCAAAGTATTTAAGATTCTAAGAAAGATGCCAAAAGGTGAGATAGAACCTTTGCCAAGGCCAGTCTTGCTTTTACAAAAACTAAGTCTGGGGTCATGCTGGTTCAACAGCTTTAAATCCAGCTAGATGGTCAAATGGCAAAGCAGAACCAACTCCATGCTTTGATTAACAGAGGATTATGGGAAAATGTACTGGGTGGAACTATAATGGTTCAGGCTTTACAGTGTAGTCATAAAGGTACTATACCATCTCCATGGTTCTTAAGGTTTAGAGAACAGAGTTGTCTGCAAAAAATCAGGGCAGAAACCATGATGGCCTTGAAGGTTCATTGACCATGAAGTCATTGCTGTTCATCAACAGCTAACAGTGGATTATTGGTCCTACCTATGTAAGGACAAGCAGCCCACACTCTGTGATCATAAATCATATTTTGGTGTGAGGAGTCACAAGGCACTTTGTAGTACAGAAATCAACTCTATTGTCTGCTTTTTGTAAAATGAAAATCATAGTTTTCCTTTACATTGGTAATTAGTGGAAAAGTGCTTCTTGCATTAGTGGTTAGTGAAGAATGTCCTACCTTACAATGGTGGTTAGTGGAGAAGTACCCTCTTATACTGGTGGTCAGTAAGGTAGTTTTTAATTGGTGGTAAGCAGGAGAAGGGCTTACTCACATTGTTGACCAGCAAAAAAGTGCCCCTTCAGTGGTCAGTGATGAAATGTTCCCTACATTTGTTGTCAGTGAAGAAGGGCCCCCTTATATTGGTGGTCAGTGGAGAGGAGCTCCCATATACTGGTGGTCAGTGGAGAAGGGCCATGTTATATTGGTGGTTAGTGGAGAAGGGCCCCTTTATGTTGGTGGTCATTGGTCTATACACTGTATAGCTGAGCCAGAAAGAGAACCAAAATTAGATAATGCCAAACAAATGTATAAAGCTTTCTGGCTCAGTTATGTATAGACTTTTCAAGTTGGTTGACCCTTACCTCTGGAGGGGCCCTTGTTTTTGGAGAGCTGCCAAACCTGTCCATTTGGTCTAGTTAAGGAACTCTAATCTGCTAGTGAACGATTCCTATCCGTCTCCTTGCTCCCACTTTGTCTTGAATCCCTTTAATTGGCAGTTAGTGGAGAGGGCCCCCTTATATTGGTAATCAGTGAAGAAGGGACCCCTTATATTGGTAGTCAGTGAAGAAGGACCCCTTTATGTTGGTAGTTAGTGGGAAGAACCCTTACCGACACTTTAATCATTGGTGTCAATAGTTACTTACTTTAGAGATGAGAGTATGGACTCCACTGGTTTTGCTGGATGTCATTGGTGCCAGAACTGTACAGAAACTGTTAGCCAATCTACCACTGCTCATGGAACCCCTACATGTGGAGGAACCCTGCTTTGGAAAGACTGCTCTAGGTTGTTTAGACTTCTTAGAAAAGTAACGATCCAATCACACAAGTATGATATAACAAATTCTAGTCTGCTTTTATTACTAGAATCAAGGTTTTCGATTTTTGTGTAGTTTTAGGAAATAATAGCAGTTGTTGAATGAAATGTAAAGGTTACTTTTAACAATATCAGATTGCAATATGACTTGTGTTGCAATTGTATCTATTGTATAATTGGAATAATTCTTCTGTTTGCAGGGGGTGCACTTCATTTGCATGATTTTGCAATTGTAAGTGTTGATTGGCTGGTGAAAAATGCATCATATCTACCAGACTGTTATATTTGTTTTACTGGCTCAGCAGTGAGGTTCATTTTCTCCAAACCATCTCCAGTGGGCCAGCTGCTATCAGGCTGTTCAGATTGGCAGCTGCTGGAGACATATAGGAAGACCATGCCAGATGTCACTGAGTTTGATAACAGGTCAGTCAAAAATGTTTCTGTTTGAAGGTTCTATTTATAATGGTCATTTTGGTGACTCTTCACACTCTTTCACATTTCATAAGGTAACAATGATTCCCTACAATATACAGGTTGTGGATAACTTTCCCAATATATGGGCAGAGCTAGAGCCTCCAATCAGCAGGGAACATAACCTTTAGAGAGTGCAGAACTATAGATCTGACTCAGCAGGGAGTGAATCAGACCTCTGCAGAGAGACCACTGCTTGCATACAGAGAGCAAGGGTTCTTCTATACAGCATGCTGGTAAGGGGTAGTCTTTTTAACAAAGTTTGTGGACACTTCTAAGAAAATGAGCTGTTGGCCACTGCTCGGTCAGTGTATGGACAGTGTACTGCGTGAAAGAGGGGCGTCTATGATTTGGTGGATATTGGCGCCAAAGCACAAGTCCCCGCCCTGCTCCTTTCATTTTGCTAGAACACTATCCCTCCTGCTGAGGCAGGACCCTCGACCATATTGTTCCCTTTCCTTGCCTGAGGCCTTCAAATGACATTCCCGGCCATTGACCTTTATATCCCGAAGAATTTCCACACAAATGAGTAGATTTGCTCCACTTTACTGATGGAATTCAGGAATTGACATAACAGTCTCATCACATTGACATATATTCTGGAGTCACTTGACAATACATAGTCAATCACATTTAGTGGATGGTCCAGAGTAGTCACATGTGAAAGCATATGCAGCACTTTAAGCAGCCATCTTCCTCTTACAGTCTCTCCTTTCACCTAGGGATCTTTAGTACTCACAGAACTGGGCTTTCTGTAGACACCTTCTGCATAGGTACACCTCTACCAGGACCTTTCAGGGAAACAGCCTCACTCAGAGAACTCTTAGCCTGTCCTAAAAGGTCTTTTGCAATCCCCCCTAGCCCCCACCTCAATAAGGGTCAGAAAGTCTACAGCTAGAGTTCCTGGATGCAGGACTACACCTGCCCTGCCTCATGCCCTGTACAAGGCCTCCACATGCTGGTTACATTTGTGCTGGTGTGGGGTGCTCAGCTCCCATACCCCAAGTGTGTTAAGGCCCCTCCCAACCTGGCTTATATGTGGATGCTGACCCACCCATGAAATCACTAAAAGGGGGCTAGCACCTGATAACACTGTCTGCTGTAACCAGACGCTACCCTTGCACCTAGTGCAGACTAGCTAACTGCAGCTGCCTACACTCTGAGCATGCTTTCATCACAACCTTGGATACATATCTGCAGTGACAGGCATTAAGACCCACTGTACCTGCTCCTGGAGATATGCATTATGTGGCTGTTAGGAGGTTAATGTTCCTCAGCATGCCAATGCCTTGTACTAAGAGAATGTTATATGACATTCCCTTTCATGGCTAGAAGTATTGTGGTTTTACTTATTCCATAAAGTGGTTGTAAAGGCTCAAGGTTTTTTTAAAAAAACTTCTGTGTTCAGCAGCTCCCCCAGCCCCCACTAATACCCCCTAAGCCCCCCCTGGATCCAGTGGTGTGCACTGGAGTCTCAGTAATGTGACCCAATGAGAAGAGGTTGCGGAGCCAAGTCGCAGCCCCACGTATGAATGAGCACACAAGCAGTGGGTGCCCCCATAGCAAGCTGCATGCTGTGGGGGCAACCGACAGGAGGGAGAGGCCAGGAGCACCAGCGGGGGACCTGAGGAGGATTTGGGCTGCTCTGTGCAAAACCACTGCAGAGAGCAGGTAAGTAGGATGTGTTTGTTAATTAACAAAAAAAAAAATTAGCCCTTAAGCCTGGATTCACATCAATGCGGTAAAGGAAATGCTGCAAAGCCTGTGTGTTTCCCACACCACATTGCAATCGCATTGCGTTCATGTGATCTGGTGTGGGTGTCAATGATAAATTAATGACACCCTGAAACAGATCGCAAAACGCAAAGTGATTGTCAGAAATCGTATTGCTTGGGTGAGAACACCCATGCAATGCGATTCAGGTGCGGATCTAAAAAAGAGTCCTGCACCTTTTTGGTGTGAATGCGATGCGATTTGAGCCATACAAAATGTATGGCTCAAATCTCACCACACAGACATTTGCATGTAATTTGCACAGGAATGTGGTGTGATTCCTGTGTGAATTACATGCGGTGTGCGAATTACATGCATGTTATTGTCAAGTTAACTGAGGCATACTGGCACTGCAAAACTAATTCTGACCATAGCTGATGATTTTTTTTTGGATCAATCAGTGGGTTGACAGAAAAAAAAAAAAAAAGACTCCGCCCATCCACACAAGCAAGGTGGATAGAGAAATCCTCCGCACTGTAGCATTGTATTGTTACAGCAGGGACTCTCCACTTTCAGAATACACTGATCAGTGGCTGCAACCTCCAGCAGGGTGGATTTGATTTAAATCATGTTGATTTAAATCACAATTTAAATTATGATTTAAATCACTAGTGAAAAGGCTCAATTTAAATCATAATTTTTAAAGAGCAGCTGTCATCTCTGTCCTGGAGCCGCTGGTGATGCGGCAGTGACACAACAACATGAGTGACGTGGAGGCAGCAGGGGAGTGGATGCCCGTTAACAGGCGCTGCCATGATGGATCTAAAATGACAGGTGCTCTTTAAATGTAAGGAATCCAACGCATTCATACTGGTAGTTAGAATCTTTGATATTTGCAAACCAAATGAAGGTTTCCATTTTAGAATAATAAGCTGTCAGGTTAGTAAAACAGCGATATCAGAACCGATTTTAGGTTAATAGGGTAATCACACATAGTTGGAGAACTACCGTATTTGCCGGCGTATAAGACGACTTTTTACCCCTTGAAAATCTTCTCAAAAGTCGGGGGTCGTCTTATACGCCGGTATACGGCATACTGACACTTTTTAGGGGGGCGGCGCGTTGCCGCCGCCGCCCCCCCCCCTTCCCCCAATGGAAGGGACACTAAGTACAGGGGTGGGCAGCGGCTGTTTCTTACCTGGTTCCGGTCCCACGACGATCCGGTCCAGGAAGCGCGGCTGCGCCTTCAGTTCGGCCACTGGATGTTCGTGCGGCTGCTCGGCTCCGCCTCCTCACCAGTGATTGGCCGCCAGAACTGTAGCTCAGGAAAGGCACACAGGCGGCCAATCACCGGCAAGGGGGTGGAGCCGAGCGGCCCCGCGAAAATCGAGTGCAGGACCAGCAGGTAAGTGGTCAGTGTAGAGGTGCTGCTGCAACCACATATGCTGGCTGCAGCAGCACCATATGAGAACAGGGTCAGCAAGTGTCAGTGGGAGGAATAGTGCCCCATCATTGGTGTCACTGATACCAATGATGGAGCACTATTCCTCCCACTGATACCAATGATGGAGCACTATTCCTCCCACTGATACCAATGATGGGGCACTATTCCTCCCACTGACACCAACGATGGGGCACTATTCCTCCCACTGACATCAACGATGGGGCACTATTCCTCCCACTGACACCAACGATGGGGCACTATTCCTCCCCCCCACTGACACCAACGATGGGGCACTATTCCTCCCCCCCCACTGACACCAACGATGGGGCACTATTCCTCCCCCCCCCACTGACACCAACGATGGGGCACTATTCCTCCCCCCCACTGACATCAACGATGGGGCACTATTCCCCCCCCCCCCCACTGACACCAACGATGGGGCACTATTCCACCCCCCACTGACACCAATGATGGGACACCATTCCTCCCACTGACACCAATGTTGGGACACCATTCCTCCCACTGACACCAATGATGGGGCACTATTCCTCCCACTAATACCAATGATGGGGCACTATTCCTCCCACTGATACCAATGATGGGACACTATTCCTGCCACTGATACCAATGATGGGGCACTATTCCTGCCACTGATACCAATGATGGGGCACTATTCCTGCCACTGATACCAATGATGGGGCACTATTCCTGCCACTGATACCAATGATGGGGCACTATTCCTGCCACTGGTGTGCATTGGAAGAGGGGTAGTCTTATACGGCGAGTATAGCTCAAACACTAAATTTTAGCAGGAAAAGTAGGGGGGTCGTCTTATACGCCCAGTCGTCTTATACGCCGGCAAATACGGTACTCAGATTCTTTTATTTCATGTTTTTTTCTCATGGATACTTTGAAATTGTGTGAATACATCAATGCAGTGCATGTTGCAGAGCTTGCATAACCTCATGCTACATAACTAAGTTCCATTTCATGCTGAATAAACTAAATTATTAATGTATCTTAAATAAAAAAACAATCTTTTACTCCAAAAGCATTTTATTTAAATAAATTTGATAAAAATAAAAAATATTATTTTTTTTATTTAAAAAAAAAAAAAACGATTTTTTTCCACCCTGTGTACCAGATGCATTTCGATGCATCTTGACCAACTTTAGCCTGGGAACCCACGAATGTCATGGAATGCTTATTGTCTCGTTCTCACCAATTTTCATGAATTTTGTGTTGCGGTTTCTAGCACAGTCAGAATGTAAAAGTATGAGAGAAATTATTGCTCTCAACAGGACCTCTTCCTTCAAAAACAGTTGCACTATGGTGGTTTAAATATTTTGTCAGTTCGTTGAGCTGTTTCAAACATACAATGTAACCAAAGGTTCTTATATTAAAGCACCTACTTGTCATATGTATTTCAGCCTGATCAGGAACCTGACTCTGCTAACGGACACTCCAGAACTAGATTATCCCACCCAGGATGTGATCTGGCGCAGGTTCGAGGGTGCTTTCATTGCTGCAGGTGGCCTCATTTGCTATGCTCCAGTCTTCAAAGCTTATATATATGAGAGTCTGCAAGAGCTCTACGAGGATGGCATTCAGTACCTTGAGCTGCGAACCATGCTGCTACCGGTGAGAGCTAGTAACTAGCAACAGTTTTTATTCCTCCACAATTTTGGTCAACATCAGATATTGACAAAATGCACTGGAGTCAATGTGGAAGGCAAAAATTAAGGTGGAAATTATATTGTATCCATCACACTCCACACAGGCTTTGTGTAGGATGTTGTAGTGAATTGGTGGATGGCCCCTTCATGCAATCATAGGAATGCAAGTATCTGCACTTGTACCTCTTGGTATAGTGAACATCTTGTTCTTTATTCACATAAAGTAACAAGCATCACAGGTCAACATTTTGGGATGTCACAGGATACCTTTTTTCAAGGCAGAGTGATCTCCCTTGCTTAAAAAAAAGGATCCTGCAAGATCCTGAAACATCAACCTGTGATGCCTGTTGCTTTATTTGAATAAAATAATAGATTATCACTCGTCCACGTTGTGCTGGTGCGTATTTTTATTTTCCAAAAATTAAGATGGTTCTTGGTGGCTTTTGAGGCTGCCATGGGCTTTTAATAGCTCTTGAGCATTACGGTAGCTCAATTTATCTATGCTGAACCTGTTCTTGTACAAATACCATCTCTATTTTTAGATTAGTTATTTTGACTTTTTTTCCACAGAAATAAAAAAACAAACAGTGAAATAAGTAAAATAAAAAATAATAGCAACAGTAAAAATAATAAAAATAGATACGCCAAAAAAAAAACCCCGAAACAAAACACAAATAAAAGAACACTAAATTAAATACTCTAAATTATGCTACATACACCCCCACTTCCCATAAAACACTCCCTTTTTAAAAATAAATAGTTTTTTTTCAGGCAAATTTCACAGAGGCAGCTGAATAAAGCAGTAACTCCACAGAAAATTAATTTTGCCAAGATCACTCAGCTTCCTGATCATGACCCTATGTCCCAAATAACAGATATTGTAATATTTTTCTCCCGCAGGTATATGAGCTGGACGGTACAATTCATGACCCCTCCTGGCTAGTGGACACCTACAGAGATGTGGCCAGGCAGTTCATGAACACTCACCCGGACTTCATGGGGCTAAAGATCATTTATACAGTTCACAGGTAACACTGTGATATTATTGACATTCAATAGCCAGGAAATCCTATTAATACAAATCAGGGGAATAACATTTAATTGAAAATGGAACTGGGTGTGTGATCTGCAGGGGGTGTCAATGCAATGCTAACACCCCAAACACATCACAAATGCAGTGCTTTTGCCTGCAAGGGATTGCATGGTACAGAAGTACCATGCAGTCTGGTTGCAGTGATTTTTAAAATGTAGTGCATGCTCTACTTTTGGTGCGATGCAGTACGAATGGGCTGAAAACACACTGCACTCAAATCGCAAAAGAACGCGGACCATGTTCCTGTGTGATTCTGGTGTGAACCCGGCCCTAAATATCACCCTTCCAATTTTTTGTGGGAGCATGGTTTTGATTTTCAAAAACTGCCAAACTTTCAGATGTTTCCATTTACCACCCATGGCAGCTGGTGCATTTTGCAGACTGATTGTATTGCAGTACTGGTGATCATCGTGTGATCAGTGATGATGACCAAATCTTGGCTAAAATTCTGCCAGCACTTCAATAGGGGATGTCTAGAGTACTTTAGCAGGTCAATATTGTCAATCTACATTGCAGATATATATAAATGTTTATTAGTAATAATAGTGAGTGGCTGTAGTAAGCTCCTCTGGTGCAGAGACTGATGTGACTTGCTCAGTACAGAGAAGTACAGCACTGCAATATATGTTAGAGCTATATAGATGTATTATAACAATAATAATAATAAAACTAGTGTGTGACTGTGGGGGGAAATTAGAATGTAAGCTCCTCTGGTGCAGAGCCTGTTCTCTGTAAAACACTGCAGAATACTGTATGACAGAGCTATATACATTTATAATAATAGTGTGTGACTGATGTGGGACATTGGAGTGTAAGCTCCTCTGATGCAGACACTGGTGTCACTGGCTCAGTGTTCTCTGTACAGCACTGCAGAATATATCAGACCCATAAAAATGTACATTATAATAATACTGTGTGATTGCAGTGGGACATTAGAATATAAGCTTTTCTAGGAAGGAGACCAATCTAGTTTTATTTTGTGAAGTATTAATTCAGTATAATACAGTATTATATACTGTAAGTATAGGATAGGGCTGGATATATATTGACTCTTCTTACTTTGCTTTAGTTGCCTTTTATTTCAACAGACACGAGGATGTTTCTAAAGTGAAGGATGCTATTCACACTGCGATTCAGCTGATATCTGACTTCCCTGACACCTTTGCCGGCTTTGATTTGGTAAACCTCTTGTGAAGTGCACCGTGGGTTAATGACTAAACTTTTTTGTTTGAATGGAGTGGTGAGGGGTTAGAACCACAGTCTGGTTTGTGCTCAGCAAGACTGGAATTGTTGGAAATTTCCCCCAGGGCATAAATGGCAATGAAAAGTTGACAGAAGTTTTTAACCCCCATTCATTGGGAGCTACTATTAACCTTCTTTTCCTGTATGCATATGATCCACTTTCGGGTGCCTGCAAACTACCTATATCTATACAGAACTATTTATTTAATAAAGATCCAGGGTATCAAACAAATGCATTTCACGGTTTAAAAATATCCCTTTCATCAGGGATTAAAGTGCTAATTGGGATGAAAAAAAAAAAAATATTACGCAGCTGAAGAAGAAGAAATATTTATTTTGGAGCCACAAAACACCTTTAAGTCTGCCACTTTGTATTCCAAGCAGCACTTTAGGCAGTGAAGAAGGGGGTATTTACAATGTCCATAATGTATTTGGTTGTTACTCTGGATTTTTATTAAATACATCATTCTGGGCTCAAGAAACCACTGGTATGGTGGTTTTGTTCCTTCCAGCTCCTGGATCCTCCCTAGAATAGGAAACCACATTACCAGCACCATTTTAATGATGTGTACCATCTCATCTATTAGTTTTGGCATTGATCAGTTGAATCGACTTTGGCAGCCCACAATTATGAGCAAACTAGTTTTAACATTAGGGAATATTGCTGCTCTACCTTGGTTTTATTATAAAAATTTGTAAAGGGATGTAGGAGTTAGTGATATAAACCTTTAAAACTACTTATTTAATAAATGGAATTTATTTAGAAAAAACTGAGTGTCATCATTGTGTAAATACAGACTTTGAAGTTTTAAGTTGATGTTTGGGCCCTCCATTCCCCGTCGTCCCAGAGAGGAATGAGGACACCTCAAGTGAACCCCGAGCATCACACCTACTGTATATAAGCTTGTGGTACATCCCATTCCAAAACCATAGGCATTAATATGGAGGTGCACCCCGTTGTGGCAATAGCAGCCTCTACTCTGAGAAAGCTTTTCGCAAGATCTTGGAGTGTGTCTGTCAGAATGTGTGTCCATTTATCCAAAGGAAAATTTGTGAGGTCAGGTAGTGATAACGGACAAAAATACTTGGCTCACATTCAGAATTCCAGTTCATCCCAAAATTATTTAGTAGTGTTGAGATAAGGACTCTGTACAGGCTACTTGAGTCCCCCCACACCAAACTAGTCAAAGAATGTCTAGAAGATCTGGCTTTGTGCACAGGGGCACAGTCATGCCTGAACCAAAAAGATCCTCCCCCAATCTGTTATCACAAGGCTGGAAGTTAACAATTGTCCAAAATGTCTTCGTATTCTGTAGAATTAACAATATTCTTCACTGGAAACACCTGAACTCAGTTTGGAGCGGTGTTCACATATTTTGCCAATATAGTGTACCTGTGGTGCATTGTATGTGTTTGAATACGCTTTGTACTGAATTGTGTATCTGTATTTCTACCAATAATCACTCTGCTTATTGCAGGTTGGCCAAGAAGATGCAGGCCATTCACTCTACCAACTTCGAGATGCTCTCAACATCCCCAGCCAGAAAGGTTTTACCCTGCCTTACTTTTTCCACGCTGGAGAAACTAGTAAGCAAGTGAGGGTGGGGAAGGATGATGTTACTGGCACCCCTGATGTTCTCCATACTTATTTTTAAAAATATTCCCGTCATACATACCTTGAATCCTGTAGCCTTCTTGCTAGTCATATGACAGTCCTCTTCCCCTTCTCCCTGCTTCAGCAGAGGGTGGTATTCAATACTGCAGAGAGCAGCGCAGTGCAGCTTTGTACAATGAGCCCAGGCTGGTAAGATGATGACCACCATGGCAGGTTGATGAAAGCCTGGGCTCACAGAAAGTTGTTTAAATGACACCGGCTGTCATTTACCCCAAAGAGGACTGCTGCGTGTAGTGGAGAGGAGGTAACAGTTGCAACAAAAGACCCTTTTTTTTTTTTTTTTTTTTTTTACTTTTAGGCTATTTTTTTTCAAAACATATATTTAAAATTGGAATTCTGCTTTAAAGACCTACTGCAGTCAAAACATTTCTCTCTAGTTTTGAATGGGGTGGGGAAGGGTTAAAACCTCTGCAGTGATTTTACTGCTGTCAGTGTCTTTGCTGGAGAGATTTTCCCTCCCTTTCTGCCTTTGTTCCCTGTCATGTGACAGCACTGGTGCTTAGTGATTGGCCTACAGTGGTCACATGGGGGCAGGAAGAGTCTTCAGCCCTATGTGAGCTCTGATTAGAGTGACTCGGAGCTTATGTACTGTAGCTCTTCCTTTCTTCGATTCTGTCAAATGAACAGAGTACTGGGCAAAGCAAAGGGCGGATGAGTATATGCAGGTGGGACAGGGTCATTACATTGCTGAGACAGGAAGTGATTGGAAATCTCTACAGTAGGGGCACAGACTTCAACACTTTTATCCTACAATGAGGAGGGATAAAACCTCTATGGGGTAAATATAAATTCATGGCATTGTATCCAAGTGACTACTGCTTCCCCATTCCATTTCTGTTATCATATTGACAGAAACTGAGGAGAGGTCTCCCCATCCGGATTATGGAGAGCAATGAAAGGTTGACAGAACTATTTACGTTTCAAAAATCGATCCAAAAAAATTTAGGCTTTAACATTAAACTTTAACTCAAGTAAGTCATAAAAGACACACATTAATGCAACTCTGTATTCATTAACACACCATTAAATATTTTTTTAATACAAACAGTGTAAGTAACTGAATTTGACTTGGTGTCAGTCTCTTGCAGTCTCAGTACAGCAGGGCTGTGGAGTAAAAGGAAGAAGCAACACATAAACCCAATTAGTTTATGTGCTGACAAGAAGCATGCTCATAGGAGGAGAAAGCAGATAGAGGCACAGGCAGGGAGTAGGCTCAATTGGATTGAATGATGCTGGCTATCAGACTAAGGACATCTAGAGACAGTAAAAAACTCTGAGGGAAATCAGTGGATTGAAGCTGAATATGGTTTTGAAAGCTGAGAGCTGGTTTTGTTATTTTATCTTTTAATGGGCTATTCATTTTTGTTGTTTTGTTTTAACCTGACATATAAACTCTTAAATCCTAACCCTGATGTTTATCCAGACCCTGTGTGTGTGTGTTTCATAAATATGATCTATATTTGGTTTCTAATTATCATTCTTCACTTCCTCTCTCTGTTGGGGTCCCTCAAGGTTCTGTCCTCGGAGCCCTCCTCTTCTCCATCAATACCTCTTCCCTTGGCCAATTGATCAACTCCCACGGCTTCAACTACCATCTCTATGCCGACGACACACAAATCTATCTCTCTACCCCTCACCTCACCCCCTCAGTCTCCAATCGCATCACCAGCCTACTAAGTGACATATTGGCATGGATGTCACTCCACTTCCTCAAACTCAACCTTTCCAAAACTGAGCTCCTAGTATTCCCCCCAGCCCGTGCCCCCCCCCAACTTCTCCATCAAGATCAACAACACTACCATCAGTCCCTCCCCTCATGCCAGGGTACTAGGTGTAATCCTAGACTCCAATCTGTCCTTTCAGCCCCAGGTCCAATCACTGACAAACTCATGTAGACTTCACCTCCGCAACATCTCCAAGATACAATCGTTCCTAACCTCGGAAACCACTACGCAACTCATTCACTCCCTTATTATATCTCGCCTTGACTACTGTAACTCCCTCCTCACTGGCCTACCTCATCGCAGGTTATCCCCACTCCAGTCCATCATGAATGCTGCTGCCAGACTCATTCACCTTACTAACCGCTCTGTATCTGCCACCCTTCTCTGCCAATCCCTCCACTGGCTTCCAATTGCCCAGTGGATAAAATTCAAAATACTAACACTGACGTATAAAGCCATTCATAACACTGCCCCTAATTACATCACCGACCTTGTCTCTAAATACCACCCAAACCGTACTTTCCGCTCCTCGCAAGACCTCCTACTCTCTAGCTCCCTTGTCTCCTCCTCCCATGTTCGTCTCCAGGATTTCTGAAGGGCTTCACCCATCCTCTGGAACTCCCTACCCCAATCTATCAGGCTATCGCCTACTCTGCTCACTTTTAGGCGCACTCTGAAAACCCATCTCTTCAGGGAAGCCTATCCTACCCTCAGCTAATAATGGAATCTTCTACTCTTCCTACCAGTCCATCCCCCACAGTTATTACCTCTTGTACCACTAACCCCTCCCTCCTAGATTGTTAGCTCCAAGGAGCAGGGCCCTCCTATCCCTCTTGTATTGAACTGTATTGTCTCCCTTTATATTGTAAAGCGCTGAGCAAACTGTTGGTGCTATATAAATCCTGTATAATAATAATAATAATAAATCTGAAAAGCTATTAAAACGCACATTAATTATACCGGCAGAATAGGCTACGTGCAGCAATAGTAGCTAATATTGGAATTCTCTACTCTTCCTACCACTCCATCCCCCACAGCTAATTACCTCTTGTACCACTATCCCCTCCCCCCTAGATTGTAAGCTTCAAGGAGCAAGGCCCTCTAATCCCTCTTGTATTGAACTGTATTGTTACTGTACTGTCTACCTCCTAATGTAAAGCGCTGAGCAAACTGTCGGCGCTAGATAAGTCCTGTATAATAATAATAATCATTCTCATTTTTTGTAGGCTGGTTAGGCATGGATGTGGACCAGAATGTCCTGGATGCCCTGCTGCTGAACACATCGAGAATCGGGCATGGGTATGCCCTCCTAAAACATCCAGTGGCCCGAGAGATGTCACTAAAGATGAATGTCCCCCTTGAAATCTGCCCTATCTCCAACCAGGTAGCTGATTGTAAGGATAAAACTGCTGTTGTTGGATATCTTGGTGCTGCTTTCCATCCTGGTGGCTGGAGGTGACATGACCAATATACATTATATTGCCAAATGTTCGTGGATACCTGACCTTTATGAGCTTGTTGGACATCCCATTTTAAAACTATGGCTGTTAATGTAGAGTTGCTTCTTTTTGCAGATTTAAAAGCCCCTACTTTCTACAAGATTTTGGGAAGGCTTTCTAAAAGAGTTTGGATCCTATCTTTGGGAATTTGTGCCCATTTGTGAGGTTAAGTACTGATGTAGGATGAGAAAACCTGGCTCACCATCAGCATTTCAATTCATCTCAAAGATGTTCAGTAAGGTTGAGGTCAGGGCTCTGTGCAGGCTACTCAAGTTCCTCCACACCAAATGGTAAAAATGTGCCTTTATGGGCCTGGATTTGTGCACAGAGGTGCAATCCTGCTAGAACAAAACTTGATCATTTGGCGGAATGTCCACATGCATTTAGTCATACAACATATATCTTCTCCCTCATGACTCTCCATTATCTGATTTCATGTCTCCTTCAGGTCCTTCTCTTGGTGTCTGACCTTCGCAACCACCCAGCAGCTGCCCTCCTGGCTGATGGCCACCCACTGGTCATCAGCTCTGATGACCCATCTGTCTTTGGAGCCCAAGGATTGTCATATGACTTTTATGAGGTGTTCATGGGGTTTGGGGGGATGGAGGCTGATCTGAAGACTCTCAAACAACTGGTACTGAACTCAATCAAGTAAGGAAAACAAACTTTTTAACTGCCTGTTTTTTATTTATGTGAAAGAATATAAAATAATGAAGCTAATGGTGTCATTTTCGGCACAAGAGCAGGTCCAGAATAGTTGATAGGAGGTTTCTTACTCCATGGGAGACACTTAAAGGCTTAAAATATCCAAAAACCACTTTCATTTTCCCTTCCCCATCGACTCTAATGCCTTTTCCCAAAATGGCAAAAAGTCCCTCCATTTGTTTACAGCAATTTTGGGGACATAATAACCCTCAATTTCCCTCATCCCTGTGTGATGTCTATCTGTGTTTACCTGCTACTAGGTATTGGACTTCTCCATCCTCCAAAATGCAATGGAAAGTTATTTAAAGGACACTGCCAGATGTCAATCAGTGCTTTTTTGTTGAGTAACTCATTATTGCTTTACAAATTTGATGTTGAGGAAAACACACATCACATTTCATAATGTGTTTCAATGTTTTTTTTTTTTAAAAACTACTTTCGAGATGACTAGGGGCTTGCTTACACCAACATTTTTAAAACCAGGAATCTACATATTTACAATTCCCTGATGTTTCAGGACTCCCACTATATCTTGAGGATAAATTCTCAACGAAGGGCCAATAACTGGCATTTGGCAATGTCTAGTCTTTATTTGTAGTTATAGGAAAAACAGGTTTGTATTTAGGCAGGGTGGGGTAAGTGGTGCAAAAGGGTACAACTGTGAGGGATGAGCTGATGGAAATGATATATGTTTAGTTGGAGGTGTAAAAGGCTTCCCTGAAGAGATGAGTTTTCAGGTATCGCCTAAAGGCACCCAGAGTAGGAGATAACTGATTGAGGTAGCGAGTTCCAGAGGATGGGAGAGGCCCTGGAGAAGACAAAGGAACTTGAGAGCAGGAGGTCTTGGGAGGAGCAAAGAGGATAGTTTGGGTGATATTTGAATAAAAGATTGGTGATGTAGCTCAGGGCAGAGTTGTGAATGGCTTTGTATATTGTTGTTGGTGTTTTGAACTGAAATCGCTGGGCAATCAAAAGCTAGTGGAGGGATTGGTAGAGAGGGGTGGCAGACACTGACCGGTTGGTAGGTGATGGAGTCTGGCAGCAGCATTCATGATAGACTGAAGAAGGGATAGCCTATGGAGAGGTAGGCCTGTCAAAAGGGAGTAGCAATAGTCAAGGCGGGAGTGAATGAGTAGCTTGGTGGTTTCATTAGATAAAAAGGGGCAAATTTTAGAGGTGTTATGGAGGTAAAGTCTTCAAGCTTTTGACAGGGATTAGATTGGGGCAGAAAGACAGAGTCTCAACTTACACCTAGTACTCTGGCATTAGGGGAGGGACTGATAGTTGTACTATTGATGGAAAAGTCATGGAGGAGGGCATGACTGAAGGGGAATATTGTCAGCTTGGTTATAGAGAGATTTAGTTTAAGGAAGTGGTGCAACATCCATGCTGATATGTCAGATAGTAAGTTAGTAATGCAAGAGAAGACTTAAGAGGTGAGGTGAGTAGTACAGAGATAGATTTGGGTGTCATCAGCGTACAGGTGGTATTGGAAGCTGCGAGAGGTTATCAAGTGACCAAGGGAGAAGGTGTAGATAGAGAAGAGAAGGAGTCAAAGATTGGACCCTTGGAGGACCCCTACAGAAAGAGGAAGTTGAGAGGAGACAGCATTATAGGTAATACTGAAGGAGCACTGTGATAGGTAGGAGGAGAACCAGGATAGAGCAGAGTCTTGGAGGCCAAGAGAGTGGAGTTTATTGAGAAGGAGCAGATGGTCAACAGTATCAAAGGCCACAGAGAGGTCTAGTAGTAAGTGTATGGAGAAGTGGCCATTGGTTTTAGTTTGTTAGTGAGTTTTAGTGGGGCAGTTTCTGTAGAGTGCTGATAAGGCTCTTATCTACTGTAAGTCCTATAGTATAGCAAATTTAATGTGAATTCATGATCTTAAGGATTCAGATAAAACTGTACCCATGTAGCTGATCTCTATTTTCAGCAGAAAGGAGTTTATAATCACTATAAAATATGGTTTTACTGTTCTTTTCCTGAATACAGCTACAGCTCATTGTCTGCGGAGGAGAAGGATAAGTTCATGGAAATGTGGCAGAAGAACTGGGACAAGTTCATTGAAGATTTAGCCAGTGAAACCTGGGGTGACAGCCAGTAGGAGATGAAGGCTTACAAATGATTGGAGACCCATTATCTGACATCCCATAAAGCTGCTGGAATACAGAGTGCTTTCTTTTCTTCCCTAAAAGAAACCACTTCACACAACACTGGACAAAAAAAGGACTCAATAACAGGAGGGGAGTGAACTGTGTGCTAATGGAGACAAGTGGGAGCGATAGAGGTTGGGACAGGCGAATTCAGGGAATGGAGACAACAGAAATATGCAAATGGAGGAGGGAGGGCAGACTTAGTATGTCCTGGATACTGTTTTAAATTGTTTAATTACCAGTAAGGTAAGGAGTGCCATTTTATTCAAATTCTGCTGTTTTATAAACATGAAATAAGAAGAACACCCCACCAGAATGCAAAAACAGCATCTCTTCAAGTCTGATACAACATGTTTTGCCTCCAAGGTTTCATCAAACATACAGACAAAACATTAAAAATATATCTTTAAATTATTGCTTTTACATTTACCATCTTTTGTTTCCTAGGTTCATATTGAGAACAAAAACTGTAGTATTTTATACGCAGAGGTATATGAATTATCTAAAAAAAAAACAACTTTGATGACATACAATAATTATAACAATGCTAAGTGCCAGCATAGCAGAATATTTTGCTTTACAAATAAATATTTAAAGATATAGTATTAAAAGAAATATTTCATACATAACAAAAGTTTCAGTAACTGCCTGCTTTCATTCTTGCCCTGTCTTGACTGAAACACTGAATGGATCTGTCTGATAAGGAAGCCACTAATGCCTAGTACACACCATGAGAAAATCAAATGAAAAATACGGCATTCTAAGCTATCGTCCAATAATCTAATCGTTAGTACCTAGCTTTTGAGAGCTGATTACGATAGTTAATGTGAAATTATCCAAAGGGATATGCACAAAAAATGTAACGATATTCGTTTAATCAGTACAGTATTTGTCCAGAAAAAAATCGACTGACTAAGACCATGCATGCTCAGAAACAAAGAAGTAAATTACAATACCATGCATTATATCACTTTTGAAGTTGTATTCTGTCTTAACTGTAGTAACCTCTTCATTTTCGATATTAGACTAGCATGCAAAAAAAATGGATGATCATTTGTCTGATATTCTCTTCGTGTGAACTAGGCTTAATACTCATTAACTTGTGTAAGGCCCCATTCACACCTATGCAGTTTGCTTTTTGCCCATTTTGCAGTGATTTTCGCAGTTTGTTTTGAATTTTTCTACACGCGTTTTTGATGTGTTTTTACCACGATTTGCATTTTGTTCAGCTCTTTTTCTTTTGGTTAGTGGAATTTTTTTTGTTGCTGTGCAGAATAAAAATACAAAACACAGCAAAAGTGCACTACCATGCATTTCAGCAGCTTCTCCATTGAACTCTGTTGTACCAAAAACTCTGCTTTTTGCTTTTAAAAAAGTCCCTGACCCTTTCCAAAAACGCAGCAGCTCAAAAGAGCTTGTGAACATGTTCCATAGGAAACCATGTTAAATGGACTGTAGTACATTTCTGCAAAAAGCAATAAAAAATACATTGGTGTGAACAGAGCCTTAGCCTGGGTTCAAAATGATGTGGTGCGGAATTCGCAGCGGTTTCTGTGCGATTTCCGCACCGCATCACAATCGCACCCCATTCATGTGAACCATTGCGGGTGTGTATGTTAAGTCAACAACACCCCAAAATCAGTTCTCAAAACGCAGAGCGATGTGCAGAATTGGATCGCATGGGTGTGAAAACCCATGCAATCTGATTCTGGTGTGAACAAAAATAAGGTCCTGCACTATTTTGGTGCGGATGCAGTGTGATCTGAGCCATACAAAATGTATCGCTCAAATTGCACCGCACAGAAATCTCATGTGATTTGCACAGGAATGCGGTGCAATTCCTGTGCGAATCACATGAAATGTGCAGCATTGCACATGTGTAAACCTGGGGTCAGTGTTAATTTGAGCTGTTAAGGTTTGTAAAGAACAGCATAGTATATGAAACTAGAAAAGCTACAATTTCTGGGGAAATTGTGTGAAGTGTTCTTGCCTCCACCAGTAGTCTTAAACTGGAGTGGGCGGAGTAACTGGGTGGAGCTTTATATTGTGAGAATCACAAGACCCAGACCTACATTTTGATGCATAGTATGTCTCTGAAATATTAAAAATGAAGGCACAGTCGCAGTTTAGAAATTGCCCTTCAAATTCGAGGTGGCTAGAGTGGAGTTTCAATGAAAGTCAATGGGCGGCGTGAGTTGCAAACAAATGGTCATATTGTGAAAACTATCAGGACTATGGCTTAGCCGTGGACATTTTTAGTGGCAGCAGGGATAGCTGAACGAACGTTGATATAAGATTTGTGTAGGTGGGCTTGAAAATGAGGGAGTGATGGCAGTTTAGAAATCATGTCCTGATTTTTCAGCTCACACTCTAGCTTTTGTCAGCTCCCACTCTAGTTTTGAACATTCCGCCATTCATTCCTATGGGACCAATTTCACCACAAAAACGGTGATATTTTGTGAACCATTCGGCGAAATGTTCCACAAAGTAATAGCACACCAATCGGGAACAATCCGCACGTTTCGGTATATTACTGTCTATGTAGTGTAAAAACTGTGGGAGGAGTTAGGGTGGTAAATTTGGCTATAATAATAAGAATATATATGTGAGATAACAGTAAGTGGTCTTGCCATGCAAGAACACTTAAAAAAAAGAACTCAAAGTTCCACCTGTTTGCTGGATTCAATACTATATAATATTTATGGACCTAATATTTATGGACAGCATCCTCTCCTGACAACAAAAGAATAAAAAAAATATATTTTAAAATATATATCTCTATCCTGACTATGCCCAAGAAAACAAATATGTACAAAACTACTGTACATCTCCTATATGTGATAACATCCTACAAATTATTTCCTTTCTTTGTGCTGCTAGTTTATCAGGTTCCTTAGATGTTCCCTGTGCTGTATGGACATTTTACACTGAAGGATGTGAAGCCAGAACTAAGCTGAACAGATGTAAAACATACCTAAACCCAAGAACCAAAATGTTATATATTGCAGTTTTCTGGATTGGTTTTAGATATGGTGGCTGCATTAGTTTTCTTTTTTCAGGCTTACATTTTTTTAAGCAAGTACATAAATTGCTTGTTGATTCAGCCAGAAATCCAGCCCTTGTCATTTCCTGAGAACAGCAATGAAAGCAAAAACAATCTTATTGTTTATTTTTAACCACTAATCCCATCACCCAGCATGTAATGGACATGAAAAAAGGCAGACATATTTGTAATCCAGCCTGTTGCCACTCTTTTAGAAAAAGAGTGTTATCCGCAAAATCATTGTGTGAAAAAAAAGAAAATTTATGCAGTCAGTCACATAGTCTGGTGTTCTGCAATTTTTGTTTTTGGGTTTAGAATAAAGGGGTAAAAAAATTATAATAATACATCTACCTCAGACTGAAAGATGCAATTTCAGAGTGGAAGAAAATGTACCCACAGTTCCCTATAATAAGGGACATTATGAGAACATTGTGACCCAGGGATTAATCCAACTGACATTATAGAATCAGCAAAGATTATTTTTCCCTCCCCAGTGATCTGTACCCTAAAACTATATTTTTGTCTGAAATTCTTTCGCTTGTCCACTACTGATACTAATGATGCCTTAAAATCAGCATTGCTAAATGGCTCTCCCTCTCTAGTCCCTCTCCCAGTGGAAGACAATTTGGATTCCCATCACAGGAAAAATTGTTTGTATTTTTTAAAGAGATATACTTTTAATATACTGTATATTATGTTATTGTGTATATAGCGAAAGGTAGTCATATATATGGGGGTATACATGTATATTGCTTAGAATCCTTGTAAAAAATTAAACTGTTCCAGTTTTTCTTCTCCTTTTTGTGTTATCCAATGGGGTTGAAGCAGAACTACAGCTAAATTACAAAATAAATAAATAAATAAATAAAATATATATATATATATATATAGTACATAAAATATATACTGTATATATACAGTTGTGCTCAAACGTTTGCATACCCTTTGAGAATTGGTAATATACATTATGTACCATTTTCACCATGCTTCACAATTGGGATGGTATTCTTGTCACTATAGACTTTGTTGACCCCTCTCCAAACACAGCACTTATAGCTGTAACCAGAAAGCTTTATTTTGGTCTTGTCACTCCAGATTACAGCGTGCCAGAAGCTGTGAGGTGTGTCAAGGTGCTGTCAGGCATATTGTAACTGGGCTTTTTTTGGCATTGGCGAAGTAAAGGCTTCTTTTTGGAAACTCGACTATGCAAATAATTTTTGTTCATATTGTGCTCCTTGAAGCAACCACACCATCTTTATCCAGAGCAGCCTGTTCTCCTGAGGTTACCTGTGGGTTTCTCTTTGTATCCCGAACAATTCTTCTGGCAGTTGTGTCTGCATTCTCACTTGGTCTACCTGAAGTTGGCTTGGTATCAAAAGATCCCCGAATTTTCCACTTCTTAATAAGTGACTGAACAGTACTGACTAGCATATTCAAGGCTTTGGATTTTTTTATATCCTTTTCCAAGTTCCATCACCTTGTTACGCAGATCTTTTGACAGTTCTTTCCTGCTCCCCATGGTTCAATATCTAGCCTGCTCAGTACATCCATGTGAGAGCTAACAAACACATTGACTATTTATACACAAACACTAATTGCAATTTTTAAAGCCACAGATGTGGCAAAATAACCTTTAATTGCCATTCTAACCCATGTGTGTCACCTTTCCACATTCCAAGGTATGTAAACATTTGATCAGGGCCATTTGGGTGATTTCTGCTTTCATTATGATTTTAAATAGGAGGCCAAAAACTATGTGATAATAAATGACTTCATATAAACACTATCCTTAAATAAAAGACAGTTTTTTTGGCACGATCAGTTAGATTTGCAATATCAATGCCTAAATTTCATGATTTCTGCCAGAGTATGCAGACTTTTGATATATATATATATATATATATATAT